GACATAATAAGATGTATTCTTCTTCTGCTACCTTTCATTTTATTTTGATTTGTATATTTTTTGGTTTTGGTTTATTTTTATTATTGTATATAGTATTTTGCAATGAAATTAATAAATTTTTGAATTGAGTTAAAGAGGTGAGGCTTTCTTCTTGGTTTAAATAGTTTCTTCCTGTCTTTTCTCACTCGCCTCATGTCTTTCCTTTTCCTCAGGGCTGGACTCCAGACAGCAGTGTCCTGACTCCATGGTGCTCCTTCCCTACAGCCACCTGAACGACTCGTACAGCCTGTACCCTCACGCTCCACGGAACATGGGTGGGCACTGCGTTAAAGAGGGTGGGAACACTTTCTGCCCTGTGTTTAATCCAGTCTGCCTCTCCTCAGACGAGCTGTGTGCCAGCATCCTGCGCTCCCACAGAGAGACCAGCCAGATCCGACTGGAGGAGCTGCAGGCGCTCAGGTGGAAACTGTTCAGCAGAGAGGAGGTCCAAGCCTACCAAAGCAAAGTAATCGGATTGCTCCTTGTGTTTTTTTTCTTTTGTTGTTTTTAATTCACAGGTTTCCTCCTGTCTGAATCAAACAGTGTAAAAACACCTCATTTAACAGGACTTGAGGTTACTTTAGTCTGATGAATCAAACAGAGAACTGAGAGGACTTCTTTCATCATTTCCTCCTCCTCCTCCTCCTCCTCCTCCTCACACTTTGATCTCTAATGGTTTTTTCAACACAGACAGAATGAAGTTATAAAATATAGACTTAATCTGTAGGTTGATCAAAAAGGACAGTGGGGATTAGATTGTGTGGGATTACTGACATTTTCACACTCATTTTACACTCTGAATGTCTGCTGAGACAGGAAACAGATACTGTAGGTGCATCTTGTTTTATGTGATGTGTGTTGTCAGACGGTGGATGAGATGTGGCAGCACTGCAGCACTGTATCATTGTTTTTAGTTTTATGTGATGTGTGTTGTTGTCAGACGGTGGATGAGATGTGGCAGCACTGCAGCACTGTATCATTGTTTTTAGTTTTATGTGATGTGTGTTGTTGTCAGACGGTGGATGAGATGTGGCAGCACTGCAGCACTGTATCATTGTTTTTAGTTTTATGTGATGTGTGTTGTTGTCAGACGGTGGATGAGATGTGGCAGCACTGCGCCGTCAGACTCACTGATGCGGTGCAGTTTGTGGTGGAGTTCGCCAAACACATCCCAGGTTTCCGTGTGCTCAGCCAGAACGACCAGATCGCCCTCCTGAAGACCGGTGAGCCTTCCTTCACGCTCAGAACTCACTTTAACTGGACAAGCATTTTATACAACACGTGTGTCAAACTCAAGGCCCGCGGGCCAGATGTGGTACACAGGTGACTCACTTCTGGCCCACTAGGTGGTGTACCC